AGATATAAACTGAAAGTTAAAGTGTCTCTTACCCTTTACAAATCCTTTTTTCCTTCCTCTGATAGTTTATGTGTCCTCCTAGAAATGTTTTATGCATCTGTAAGCATATAAATCTATGTGTATAGGTTTACAAATAGAATCACACTGTGGCTTCTATTTTCCATGTAGATTTTTTTTTTAACTTAAAAGTATATTTTAAAGATCTTCCCTGGCTTTTAGAGAATTCATGATATTCTGTTATGGAGATATGTCACAATTTATTGATCAGCTCCTAACTAATGATTACATTTCCAGGCTTTTTTTTTTCTCTTACAAACAAAGCTGGGTGAAAGAAAGAAAGAAGAAAGAAAGAAGAAAGAAAGAAAGAAAGAAAGAAAGAAAGAAAGAAAGAAAGAAAGAAAGAAAGAAAGAAAAACTGGACTAAATGTTTTTGTACACAGATGTGTTTTTTTTTTAATAAAAACAAATGAATTCCTAGCAGATTATTTTAATGATACTTGAAAAAGAAAGCTAAGGGGCGCCTGGGTGGCTCTGTTGGTTAAACGTCTGACTTCGGCTCAGGTCATGATCTCACAAAGTTCATGGGTTCAAGCCCTGCGTCGGGCTCTGTGCTGACAGCTCAGAGCCTAGAGCCTGTTTCAGATTCTGTGTCTCCCTCCCTTTTCCTCTGCTCCTCCCTGGCTCTCACGGTCTCTGTCTCTCAAAAATAAATAAACATTTAAAAATTAAAAAACAAAGAAAAAGAAAGTTAAAATATACATTTAATGAGAGTATTTGGGGGTGGATTGTTAGGGTGTGTATCTCCTGGTTTCTAACTTGACATTGTGTTTTCTTAGAGATGAAATTGGGGCATGTAGCCTTGTAGCTAAGAGTTTAGGACATTTGAATCTCATCATCTAATAAGTAGACTAAGTACTTAGAGAGTCTCATCATTTACTAGTTAGACAAGGTACTTAAGCTCTCTGAGCCTAGTCCCACTCCATGGGGTTAGTATTACAGTCAAATGACATGCCGAAAGTTAAAATTTTGTATAGTAGCATTTAGCATTGATAACCTCCCAATAAATGATAACATAAGTAGTTAATATTATCTGGTGATAATGACTACTCTTAAGAAATAGTAGACTAGGGCTTCCCAAATCTCCAGATTTTTAATATTGATAAAACCATTTTCAATTAAGCCATTTATCATAAGCCATTTGTATATTTATATATTCCCTTCTATGTCTCAAGATCATTATTAATCCTTCTCTTGAAATTTTTTGACTTCTAGGTTTCAAACATCTTGTCACTGTTTTTCACAACACCATTTCCCAAAGAGTGATGTAGTTTTCACCATGCTTCAGGCCTTCACCCGGTCCTGGGCAGGACTGGGCATATATTCCACAAGAAACCTCATCCAGATCTGAAGGTGGGGAAAAAAATTATATCCTCTTTAAGAAAATGTTCAGGGAGCAAATGTTTTGCTTCGGGCAAAGCAATGATGGCATTGCTGACATGACAGCAAGACTTGCTGCTTGCTGCTTGTCATGCCCTTGTGAATAGCTGTTTGGGGGTTTGTGCCATCAAATCCTCAAGCTGGAAACCAGAAACCTGTGAGCCAGGCTCCTCTGCTACCTGTGACCAGGTTCTGCCTTCAGGTGCCCCATAGCTGAGGGGGAAGCGAGAAGCAGGAGCATATGCAATACTCTCTCTATTTTTTGGTGAGAATCACAGTGAGGGCTAGAGCTCCAGGCAGTGGAGGTGGAGTTTCAGGTGTCTGATGTCAGCCTGGGCTTGGGCTGTGTCTGCCCAGTGGCCACGGCCATGGAGGCCCCTCTGGGGCAGCCTGTGGTGCTGTTTAGATGTGTTCCTGGCTGCTGGCCTCCAAGCCTGGAGTCCTGGCTCTCCCGCAGCAGCTCTGCATGCTACTCCATTCCTTTGCTGCTTAAATTGGCCAAATGAGTTCTGGTACTTATGACTGAGTGCCTCCAATCCCACTTTCTCCAAGCCCTAAACTCTTCTCGTTTCCTCATCTCATTGTGTGGCAACTTAGCCCTGCTGGTTGTTTCAGGCCCCAAATCTTGGTGTCATCCTTGACCACTTTCTCTCATAGCGGCCTAATTGGTCTTTTACATAGATTCCAACCCCCCCGTGGCTGACTGCTAACACAGCTACCAGAATCATCTTCCAAAAAGTTATGTCACTTGTCCCCTTAGACTCCTCTGCTGGCCTCCATCTCCCCAAGTAAAGTTGAATTCCAATGGTGTCCTTCGAAGACCCACTCCCTTGTTACCCTTCTTATCAAGTAGCCCTTCCCTTCTTCATTCACTGCTCTCCATACACTCTGGGCCCAGGTCTGTAAGGTCCTGAGTGACCCAATTGCCTGCTTCAGTAGCTCCTGCCACGCTGTCTCCTTGTAGTCTCAGAGTATGCCCCACCCACCACTACCTCAGGGACTTCTCATTGGCTCTTCTTTTGCCTGTAGCCCCCTCTCTCTAAGACATATCCTGCCCCACACCCCATTTACATGGCGTTTAACCTCCTATTTGTTTTTTTCTTAACCGTATTTATTTATTTCAAGAAAGAGGGAGAGAGAGAGGAAGAGCGAGGGAGAGGCAGCGAGAGAGGGAGAGAGAGAATCCCAAGAAGGCCCCATGCTGTCTGATGTGGTGCTCGAACCCATGAACCATGAGATCATGACCTGAGCAGAAATCAAGAGTCAGATGCTTAACCAACTGAGACACTAGGTGTCCCAAACCTTTTATTTCTTTAGATGACTTTCCCTAATATCCCCAGGTTTGGCTGCCCTCTTTACCCCATCCCACTCAGCTCCCGATTTCTTTTACACTCTATTTCTTTCCATAGCATTGCTCATTCACCAAAGATACTTGCCCATCTGTCTGTTATCTGTCTCTCTCCCCATTAGAATATAAGCTCCATGAAGGCAGGGATTTTGGTTCCTGCTATAGCTTCAGAACTTAGAATATTGACAAGCTCAGGATGTACCCTAAAAATATTTGTCAAATAATTATATGAATGAAAGAAATAATAGATGAAGGAATGAATAAATGAATATGGAGAGAATATGGCACTCTCTCTTTTCTGAGAGTTTATAAGGAGATTAATACCAGTCACTCAAGGAGCTATTGTAAAGGCAGCAACTTTAATGGAAATCAGTCAGAAGTCTTGAAGGAAATGACTGATTTTATCTACATTCTCCATTTTAATAATATGTGAAAAAGCATCTTGTAAGATTTAGTAGGGTCTCTTTGAAAGGCTTTCATAAGCTTCATCAGAGATGTTTATGGTGTGATTTAAGGGGTGTATTATGAAATCATCTGGCCAAACCAGTATTTCCTGGTCTATCATAATGTCTAAAATTCTTAAGATTTATTCTTTTATTTATTCTAGAAATATGCCAGGCTCTGTTCTACAAAGTTGGGACATAGCAGTCTTCAAGTCAAAGGTCCACTCTTGTGAAACTCACATTTTGCTTGGAGATACCAAGCATCAGGTGGTACTAAGTGCCAAGAGGAAAATTACAATGGGTAATTACAATGGGTGAGGGAGAGAGTGATGTGGCCTTTTAAATAGGGCAGTTGGGGAAGTTAATGTAAGGAGATGACATTTAAGTAGAGGCCTAAGTGAAGTATGGGAGGAAGGCTTACAGACGTTATTTAAGTCACCTTAAAGACATCTCAATGAGAGGAGAGTGACAGTGACCCCTGGCTGTCTGGGAGATGTAGCCTGAGATTTGACGGTGTTGTGGCACTTATAAAAACACCATATATTACTTATCTCATTTAACTTCGTCAACAATGCTATGAACTGCAAGGAACAAAAATTCTCATTCCCATTTTCCTGTCAAAGAAATTCACCTTTTAGAGAGTTTAGTAATTTGCACATGGTCAAAGGACTAGTAAGTAGAAAATTCTGGATCAGAGAGAAAGAAGTTCATTCTCTTTGTATGATAAATCATACCCACGTGGACATGCAGACACAAAACCCAAGGAATAATTTTGGACTCAGATAGACCCGACCTCAAACTTTTCTGTCCAGCTCTTTTTGCTTTAGGCAAACCATCTACCTTTTCTGATCCTCATTTTGTTTATTGCAAGGTGGGTTGATGATACCTCTAGGGATTGAAAATTCCAAATGAGATAAAGTCCCTGGATTAGAGTCTGATATACCATAGATTGTTAGTAAACAGGACTCTTTTTGTGGAAAGATGCTTATCTTCCCAAAGTTTATGCAGATGTAGGAATAAAGAAATGGAAAGGAGGGACTAGAAAGTCTATCCCATCTGGAAGTTTTATGTATCTATAAAGAATTTGAAATATTTTTATTTCTTTCACATTCAAAAGACCAGATTAGTGGGCCTGGGAGTGACCAAGTTTCTTTTAAAGAGACTTACTTTAAATTTTAAAAGCATTCCTTCATAGCTCTATTTGGGGGAAAATCTCAGAAAAATATTCTTTGCTTCAAGCTCTTCAGAAGGCATAAGGACATAGGACATCATCCTTGCAAAGCAATTTTTAAATTTCCCTTAAGGAAATAGGAACAGAAATGCCTACACTATGTTGAATTTTGTTTCACAAACACTGTTTCAATTTGTCCTTCACCTATGTGATGTCAGGTGGGTAATCGTATAATGAGATTCAAAGGAGATTTATAAGTTTCTAGATGGGGCTAAGATTTATGAATTTCCTGACTGGGCATTTGAATCGGGATCAATGAGGCCTTGACAGTTGATGCCTTCACCAAGTTGCGTGAACACACCAGAGATCCGATCCAGATTCTGGTTTATGTTAGCTGCAATCCAGACTAAACATGTGGAGGGTGAGAGTAATATGTGAATCGAAATTTGTTCCAAGATGCACACTATTTGTGTATCTGTCAGCAATGATAAACTTTCCTTTGTTTGTTTTCTCTTTCTCAGACTCAACTAGATGGAAAAATGACATTCAAGCCCCTCAGACCATCATGCAAAGTTGTTCTGATGGACACATAGACACCCACTTGTGATAAACTGAGGTTTACTTTATTCCTACTCAGAACAATTGGCTAGACCAAGGATCCACACCATTTATTGATGCCAGCCTCAGGCAGTGTTCTGTTGATGGAAAGGACTCCAGTAATTCGATTTAATGTCTAACCACATCTTACCCTATTAACACAGGAGAAGGGCCCAGAGTGGAAGCTGTTGGAGTGACTGTACTCCTCAGGCTCAAGTCTGACATTTCCAAGGCAGGATGTGATTACAGATAGCAATAAGGAAATCTGGGCCAGAGATGAAGTGCAGAGATCAGGAAACATAAAGAGATGACAATAACAAGACAGTGTGGCAGCCTGTGTCCTGTTCCCTTATCCGGCTGTGAGTAGGCAAAACATCTTGCTGGAATGCCTCCTTGATTTCAGGATAGACACTCTCAGACCTGGTCAAGTCAGGATACTTCACAGCAGCCGAACTTCACCTGGAATGCTCAACATCTCAGGCCGACTCAAATGCGCCTCGCTGTTATTGAGTAATAGAGAAATAGACAATCAAATAATGAATAATAGAATTCACCCTTCTGAATAATAGAGAGATATGTGTTTTTACAATTGTGTGTTTTCTAAGTCTCTTGGCCATTTTACTTTTACTTATAACCAAAACATATAGGAATTTGTTTGACAGCCTGACTTCAATCTATGAGAGCTGAGCTCACAAGGAAACTGAGATCTTATAGACTCTGCTGCAATTCGGGGTTCCTTTTTTTCTTACTTTTTGATTTTTCCCCAAGTGAAGTCTGCAGACAACTTGAGTACAAATCACATGGCACGATTGTAAGCATGTCTGATTTTCGTGCCCCACTTTTGTCTACTGAAGTAGAAGCTCCAGGGTGGCACCTAGAAGACTGCTTTCTTTAGAGAGAACAGCAGCTGTGGGGCTCCTGGGTGGCTCGGTCGGTTAAATGGCCAACTTTGGCTCAGGGTGTGATCTGCAGTTCATGGGTTTGAGCCCCCGTCCGGCTCTGATCCTACAGCTCAGAGCTGGAGCCTGCTTTGCATTCTGTGCTTCCTCTCTCTCTGCCCTCCCCAGCTCGCACTCTGTCTCTCTGTCTCTCTCTCAAATAAGTAAATGTTAAAAATATTTTTTTAATAAAAATAAATAAAACGTTTTTTAAAAATTTTTTAAAAATTAAGACAAAGCACAGCAGCTGAGACTCAGGTCCACTAGTCCAGGAGCCCAGAATTTAGTGCCTGAGGTTTGCAAGTTGTAACAGAGCATTCATTCTTCATTTCTTTCCAGGGATAACAAGATTTTTCTATCAATATTATATTAAAAGCAGCTACATGTGCTTATGTGAAATAAAAGCAGCACTCCATTTGTGTGCAAAATTTGAGTTCACTTGCTTGAAAGCGCTTTGAAGTAATGTTTTCTCAGCTTTCTTTAATTGGACGGTGACTTTACAAGAGCGCTTTGGAAAGGGTATTCTATTTCAGTGTTATTTCTGGCCTCCACTCAAGAAACCAACGATCTCATAAGCAGTCAAATTGATAACCAACCAGTAACTCTCCAAATTAGAAGGGAGCCTCAACTCATTTCAAACTATAATATTAAAGCCCTCAAATTGTTAGGAGTCTGTACTGTCAGTTGAAATTAAAAGGTAGAAATTTGGCTTTTGGTATAATTGAATATGGGGTGCTGTCATATGCCTATGAAGTAGTGCCATTTCAGAAGCTATATCTGAAGTTATTTCCGAGGCACATCATGAATCACCTTCACAGAACAGAGAGATAAAAGAGATGAATCAAGATTTATTCAACACACATTTATTGAGTAACAACTATGTACGTGGCACTGGTCTGGGTCTAGAGCCGGAGGAGTAAATAAAGCAAGTCCAGGCTCCTTAGCTCTTAGTTCTACTAAGGAAAGCAGGAAATAAAGAAAAAGCCAATATTTAATATTTCTAAGATGAAACACACATTACAGATGATAAATGCACCGGCAAATGGTTTATTCTGAATCTAAAAATTCTGAATCCGCAGTTTGAAAGTGATCCACTGAATCACTCACATCTATGGTCACAGTTATAGTATAGAATTCAAAATTCTGGAATCCACAGTTTGAAAATGATCCACTCAATCACTCACATTTATGGTCACAGTTACAGTATAGTCAAAATACGGATCTGATGTATGACTGATCTTTTTTTCCCTGGGGCCCTATCCTGTCTCCTTGTCATTCCTGACCTTCTGTAATGATGAAAGGCAGCCAATCAGGAGATTTGTTTGTTTGTTTTAACTGGGTGCTTTTAACTCAGGAAGCAAAACCAGTAGAAACTGGATGCATCACCAGAGTCATCTGTGAACTGTGCCCAGAGTTTACAGATACTCAGTTGGTTTCAAAACTGCAAGCTAATACCCACACGTACCAACAGCTTGCCTTTCTTTTTTCCCCCCTGCCGTGTTATTAATATTTAGAGTTGTAATACGACCCCATCCAAAAACTGTTGCAGAAACTTCTTGGAAAAGAACATGAAGTTTATCTGTGCCTATGAAGTATCTGTTAATCAGAGGAGGCGGGGGTGGGGTAATAAAAACAAACCAAAACAAAAACCCCATGAACAGCCATATATTTTCTTCGTGTAACCTTACATCATTTCAGACCAAAGTGCAGAGTCACATGTTTTTTTATTTTAGAAATTTACCAGCAGCAGAGAGGGTATTGTTATGCTGATCAGAATTCGTTTGGTAAGGTAGGCTGTGGGTTTGATTTAATTTTTCATATTTGTCTTTCTGCTCATATAAGAATTTTCTCTAGGGGAAAATACACGCTAAGGCTAAACTTCACACGAATTAACTAATTACCTACACATTGCAGCCTTCAGCCATCTTTAATAAAAGAACACCATCTACTTCTTGCTAAACTGTAAAAAGGGATTCCTTTTTTGTAATATTAATGTTACCCCACTGAACAGTGCCATTAGAAGAAATCCCAGAAGCAAACATGGTACGAATTTTGGAGCAGCTGTGTAGAGGTGGCTTCTAATCATAATTGAACATGAACAAGAACAAATAAATCAAGGAAGCTACTCCTCCACTTCTGCTGACCTAGAGATGTCAGTTTTCACACTGAATAAACATCAAGCAGCTTGCAAGAGAAGTTACATGGCAGCTGGGACAGTGACAGTAAAGCCCGTCTTGGCTTCGCACACTCAGATGTGCCAGAAGCCCAGGAACTTTCTTTTGAAATCCAGATTACACATTTGAAACTGCCGCTTCCTGACTTTGACTCCTTGGCGAGACGCTCGCTGAATGTGCACACTGAGTAGATGATGGCAACAAACAAGTTCTGGGTGAAGTTACTCACCTCCCAGCACAGAGCTGCTTCACAGGGCACATCAGGTGAACAGTGGGCTCAAGGCAAGGCCGACGTGATGCTGGGAGAAAGGGCTGGAGGGTTTTGGGTTTTATCATCTCGCGTGTGTTTTTAAATATAAAAGTAGATTTTTGAAAGGTGATTAGAGTTGGGTTTTCAGCCGAGGCCATGTTATTAGGAGACGGCTCGCCGCCAATAAATGTCACCCTCAGCTGTTGACCCTTGGGTAGCTAAATGGGGGTCAAAATTAAAACTTGGCAGGGGTCCCACGTGCTGCACTTCTCTTGTGCCCTTGTTTGTTTGTTTTTGTCCAGAAACGGATTTGCTAAACATCCCCTCTTCAAGCACTGATTCTATGGAGAAGAGGACCTAAAATCAGCAACTTTTAAGCATAGAGGTTGCTAGGGAGACCCTGCTTGAAACATAAATACCTTCTTCTCATTGCTATATTACCTGCGCCCCAAAATACTGCTCTCAAATCAGCCGTTTCGTTCTCACGAGTGACTTTAACGGTAAGATGATGCCCTAGAGCCCGCGGTTACTTCAAATGTGTGATTTCATCCAGCCCATCCGCAGAAGGCGTGAGAGAACTACAGAATCAGAACAGTCGCTGTGCTTCTCTGTGTTCCATTTTCCACATGCAAATATTCTAATCATTTGCTGAACGAGGGGTCTTGGCAGGTCCGATGTGCTAAGAGCACTCATGATGGGAGACATTATTTACGGTCATCTTTTCCTAAGTCTCATTTCAAAGAAACTATCATCCATTATTTTAAGAGAAAAACTAGGAAATAGAAAATTGTTTCTCACCGAGCCATGGCCTTTGTACACATGTGCTTTCGTATCTCCATTTTAGGAGGGGTGCAAACATCTTTGCTACCCTGGGGTCATTGTCCTGGCCTGTCCTTTAGATGTTTTTATCCTGTCATCCAGACAGTTCAATCAGGAGTGAGGTGCATTCGAGTCGGGTTCCACTCTTGCCAGGAGGATAATCCCCTAATGACCGGTCAGTGTTTTCATCCCAGTCAGTTTGACCTTTCCAGATGGAGACACTGCTTTCAGTTTGCACAAAACGACCTCAGCAGCAAATGAAACCCAAGGTGGGGATGTCGTTGCTGTTCCTCTCACTGCCTCCCGCTTCTAGCTTTCCTTTCCTGACGTGGACATTTGCAAATACAGCATCTCTTCAAAGTGCTCTTTAGTGTGGAAAACATGGGGAGTTGAGGGAAATTGTGCATAATTCTATTAAAAGGCTTATACCTCAGCTTTGAAAACTCATTGAGGAAACGTGATTCAGGGGGAGAGAAAGTCTTATCTTCTGGCCCAGAAGGCGCTTCATGGAACTAAGCTTGTTAATGTGAGGAGTGCACGTTAAGCACCAAAAACTAAAATAAGTCAAGAGAGGGAAGCGCTTCTCTGATCTCCCTTCAAGTCCCCAGTGGTCTGAAGCTTAAGACAGAGACGTGTTTTCTGTTCTTTTCACCATGTTGCAGACTTAGAAATGGAGTCGTATCACTGTATGGGAAACACAGGTGTGTCTCTGGAGGGAATAAAATGTATTGTCTCTCTTCAGTTGAGGACCGTTCATTTTGGTGTCTTTACACACTTGAGAACATCTTCCATAGATCAAATGACTCTGTCACCTTGCCTATTTTGATCATATGATGCTGCCCATCGTTCTTAGGCTGACAGCCAGTTTGGCGTCTATTTTTCATATTCAGCTTCTAAGATCGTAGTTGTGGAGCCAAACACTGACAGAGTAAACGGTACAAAGCCAGTGTAATTAAATTCTTCTTAGTACAGAGCAAGTTCCCATTAAACAGGCTGCCGCTCCAGATGGTGGCCTGCTATGGGGAAAGGCACATGAAGACTGCACCTGCGCTGTGGCTGGGGAGCGCCCAGAGCCCTCAGAAGCCACTGTTCTAGAACTATCCAGAGCCTTAAGCTTACTTTTTACTGGGATCCATATCTCATCCAGAACATGTGGAGTGTGGAGACCTTTCCATTTGTGTCTTAACTCTCATTCCCTATTCAGTTGGATTGTTGCCAGGACCTATGCTTTTAGAGCCCCTATGCTCTCACGCACATAAACAGAGATACAATTTCATTTTTTGAAATAACATAAAATTTGCAACTATGTTGATAGCAGACCAACAGTTTGTTTTTCTCCCTAGGTGATTTCTTGATTATAAAATTCTGGGTAAATTCACTGAGATGGAAATTTTCTGATGTTTATTTGTGCTTATAGAGTCACCCAGCAGTGACTGCTGTGATAGCATCTAGTAAGTGGCCATTTGTGTCCCCACAGTCTTTTCTGCCCAGCAGCAGAGCAAGGTGACTCACACTTGCTTGTCAATTTTGAAGGTTTTATTGGGTCTTAATTGTATTTTATATCTAATTTAAAACTTTTCCAGATGGTTTTGTGATTCTCCTTATCTAACTGACCTTAGGCTGCATTCCTTTTTCCTGTCAAGGGATCTTCCTTACCATGTTTTTCGCCTATCTTGCTCTCTAACTCCAAATTACACTAACTCAACATTTATTTAGATAAAAAAACACTTAGGAGAGTTTTGGGGGTTTGGGGTTTGTTTAGGAGAGATTTATGTCATTTTAAAATTAAATGTAAGAGAGAGTATGAGCAGGGTAGGTGCAGAGAGAGAGGGGGACAGAAGATCTGAAGTGGGCTCTACGCTGACAACAGAGTCCAATGCTGGGCTCGAACTCATGAACTGTGAGATCATGACCTGAGCTGAAGTGGGATGCTGAACTGACTGAGCCACCCAGGCATTTCTTGTGTCATTAAAAAATTTTTTAATGTTTATTTTTTGAGACAGAGAGAGACAGAGCACTAGCAGGGCAGGAGCAGAAAGAGAGAGAGACAGAATCTGAAACAGGCTCCAGGTTCTGAGCTGAAAGCACAGAGCCCGATGTGGGGCTTGAACTCATGAACAGCTGAGAGCCCCGTGCTTAAGAGCATAGGGGCTCTAAAAGCATAGGTCCTGGCAACAATCCAATTGACTAGGGAATGAGAGATCATGACCTGAGCGGAAGTCAGAGGCTTAACCATCTGAGCCACCCAGGTGCTCCTCCTTATGTTGTTGTTGCTGTTGTTTTTAATGTTTTATTTATTTCTAGGAGAGACAGAGAGAGAGACAGCGTGAGCAGGGGAGGGTCAGAGAGAGAGGGAGTCACAGACTCTGAAACAGGCTCCAGGCTCTGAGCTGGCAGTCAGCACAGAGCCCAACGTGGGGCTCGATCCCACGAACCGCGAGATCATGACCTAAGCGAAAGTCGGACGCTTAACTGACTAAGCCACCCAGGCGCCCCTTATGTTGGTTTAAAAAAGCAACTTATATTTAACTGGTAGTGGCTCTGGGAAATTATACTTGTCTGGCTCTGGTGCATATGTATATTAAAAGTAAGACTCACATGCTGAAGATTATGTGACAGAAGTGAAATTCTATTAACTAGAGTTGCCATTTTAGGATTGACACCTGAGAATTGTGTTCTCATTATGTAATATGTAGGCAAAGTTATGTTACTGTACCTGACATGGCGTAAACATTTATAATGTCCAGCCAAAATTGCCACCTGACCACGCAGAGAAAAAAGAAAATCCTAATCAGATTAGAGTTTAATGAATTCATCTCAGGCCAGTTGTGAATTCTTAATGCCAAGCCATTCCAATGAATAAACAGTGGAAAAGTTTGGAGAACAAAAGATCTTAATTATTTGCATTCTTTCAATGGCTGTAATTGCAGTATGTTTTTTATTGTCTGTTATAACTTGTCCCTTGTTGACGTATTTTTAAATTGTGGTTTGTTCTCTGTTGCAAGGTAGTTAGGATAATCATTAAAACTGGCAAAATTTCCTTCTGAATAAAACATACATAATAAATATGTATGTTTCAACTTAACCAGAATTTGCAGATGAATGGCAGGCAGTTCCGGGTTAGTTTTTATGTAATTTAGTATAGTCATTGCTAGACTGAAAATGCACCACACACAATATAACACATTAGAAAGTATGCACTTAGAATAAAAATGTTAGAAAATCTCATAACTTCTATCTTTATATATTTGCCCTTTATTCTCAAATATGAATTTTTAAGATAACATTTTTTTCCTGATTACTAAAACAACACGTGCTTATTTTGGAAGAGATGGAAAATATACAAAAATAAAAGAAATCAATAAGAACCATATAATCTTACAACCCAGAGATATCCTTTCTGGTAATTAGAAGTGAATGTTAGAAGTAAAATGTCTTTTAACTTGGTGCACATACCTTACTTCTAGTCTTTTTCCTACACAGTTTATTTTACAAAACTGTGTTATACTATAGCTTCTTTGTAATTTAATTTTAATTTTTTAATATAGGCATTTTATTCCCTTTTATTTAAAGTTTATTCTGAAAGAGAGAGAGAAGAGAGCACATGCATACACCTGCCTGAGCCAGAGAGGGGCAGAGAGAGAGGGGGAGAGAGAGAGAGAGAGAGAGAGAGAGAGAGAATCCCAAGCTCAAACATGGGGCTCGAACTTACGAACTATGAGATCATGATCTGAGCTGAAACCAGGAGCCGATGTTTACCTGTGTGAACCACCCAAGCACCCCATTTTGTAGTTTTAAATACATATGTAGTATGTTTATTTACAAATATATTTTTTGTCAGTTGTTACTTTTCCACATCACATTTTTTAACAGCTGTGCAGTATTTTGTCATATGCGTAATAAAATTTGAAAAGTGGCTCTTCCATCTGACAAGAAATTCAATGGGTACAGAGCTCCAGGCCATCACCACATTGGCAGACTGACTTTTGGGGCTCCAGCTTTTTACTTAAGGTAAAGCTATTATTTTCTTTGATTTGAGTTGAATACCTTTAGATGATTAAGCATTCTTCTACCTGTCCTTTCCCGGGTACCAGCCCCTGCCATTGTCTATATCTTATATCTGCCTGCTTCATGCATTTCAGCTTCCTGCCCAAGGTCACCACCTTTGGCATGGAATGTCCAAAAGTTAAGAGAAACATTTAGGATATTAAAAACAATTAAAAGTGACTTGTCTGAAATAACAATCACCATGTAAGTTGGAGGTGCATTTTTTTTCACTACTCAGCACAGCTGTTTTGCCCCGTGGAACTATCATAATTTGTCCTCTATGGTGTTAAATGGATGTCTATGCATGAATTGGAAAGGAAAGAGAACAAGAAATTAGGGCAGTGCATTGTGATGGCTTGGGCTCAGTTCTCTTGGTTACCTTTCACCGAAGTCATGGTTTCTGTTTAGTTTTGGACAGAATAGGCCATACGGTAGTAACAAATTAATTCTGAAGTCTTGGTGGCCCAGAAAAAGAAAATTATTTACTGCTCACAGAGAGACATGATGGAGACTGACAAGGACTCCCCTTCATCCATGACTCAGTGATGCAAGCTGCCTCCATTTTGTGATGATATCATCTCAATATGTTGTTGCTATAGAAGAGAAGAGGGACGTAAAGTCACACCAGTTCTTAATCGTCTAAGCCCCCAAATTATGTGTTCTCTACAGCTCTCAATCTCTT